TCCAGGCTGGCCCCAGCCTGGTCAAAATCCTGCTTTGGAGGGGGGAAGAGAAGCTGCAGAGCCCGACTGCTGCAGGGAAAGGGTCTTTTTAAGGAGGGGAAGGGAGGAATTCGAGCCAGACAGGGAGGGATGAGGCAGGATTCCTGCAGGATTCCTCCAGGATTCCTGCTGGCCCCGGGCCTGGCTCTGCTCCCACCATCACAGGTTGGACTCGACGATCCCAGAGCTCTTTTCCAACCTAATTTATTCTGTGATTAAACAAACCCAATCCACTGAGTGTAAACCAACTGGTTACAGACCCCCCCAGCCCTGCTCTGGACCCAGGGACACAGGACAGGGATCATCCCACCCTGGAATGAGGGGCACAGGGCAGATTCCAGCTGCTCCAGGTGCTCCCCAGCCCACAGGGACAGGCTGCCCTGGGAACAGCTTGGGGATGTTGGGAGGGAAGAGGGATCGAGGCTGAAGGTGGGATTTGGGGTCAGGAAGGGGCTCCCTCCCTGCTGGGGGGTTGGATCCCAGCCTGGGGTTTAAGGGGCACAGCAGGAGCAGCTCAGGCAGGTAAGGCCAGGCAGGGAAACCTGGGCAGGGAAAGCCAGGCAGGGAAACCTGGACAGGGAAAACCAGGCAGGGAAACCTGGGCAGGGAAACCTGGACAGGGAAAACCAGGCAGGGAAACCAGGCAGGTAAACCTGGGAAGAGAAATCTGGGCAGGGAAAGCCAGGCAGGGAAAACCAGGCAGGGAAACCTGGGCAGGGAAAGCCAGGCAGTAAAACCAGGCAGGGAAACCTGGGAAGAAAAATCTGGGCAGGGAAAGCCAGGCAGGGAAAACCAGGTGGGTAAACCTGGGCAAGTAAATCCAGGCAAGTAAACCCAACCAGGTAAAGCTAACCAGGTAAAGCCAGGCAGGTAAATCCAATCAGATGAACCCAGGCAGGTAAACCTGGGCAGGTAAACCCAACCAGGCAAACCCAGGCACTAAATCCAGGCAGTAAAGCCTGGCAGGTAAATCTGGGCAGGTAAACCTGACCAGGTAAACTCAGGCAGGTAAATCTGGGCAGGTAAACCTGACCAGGTAAAGCCAGGCAGGTAAACCCAGACAGATAAAGCCAGACAGGTAAAGCCAGACAGGTAAATCTGGGCAGGTAAATTCAGTCAGGTAGACTTGACCAGGTAAAGCCAGAGAGGCAATGCCAGGCAGTAAATCCAGGCAGGTAAATCTGGGCAGGTAAACCCAACGAGGTAAAGCCAGGCAGTGAATCCAGGCAGGTAAAACCCAACCAGGCAAAGCCAGGCAGTGAATCCAGGCAGTGAATCCAGGCAGTGAATCCAGGCAGGTAAATCCCAGCCTACCCTGGGATTAAGTGCCAGGAAGCCAAAGCTGCTCTGGGCAGCTCCAGGAACCCGGCTGAGCCCAGGGGAGCT